ATTTGTTTTGTATATAATAAACCTCTAGTGATATATATTTATAGTCAATGTTAAATAAATTCACTTGGAAATCACCGATCTAGTAGTAACTACTGGTATAGTATATTGGAGATGTTGCTTGCAAAAGTATTAAAGGAAAAATTTTGAAAATATTTGGGAAAACAATTCGGACTGATACTAGCCCTACTTTTCTTAGTAGCCTTTGTCTGACCTACAAAGCCTTATAATAAACTTTATCTTATCATGTTTGACCAAATCCTTGATAAGCAGAAATAATGCTTCTACTTGTTAAGGCCACAGATCTTGTACTGTGAATTTTTCTTTTTAGCACAGAGTTAGTGTATTTCCCTTTTAGTCAGAAAAATATTGGCTACATTCATTGGCTTTGCTTGGGAACACGATCCCCAGACAAGAGTCGTGCATGAATGAGAAAGAGAAGGCCATGCACGATTTCATTTCTGCAACATGGCAACATTCTTAAAGCCAGAAACAATGTGTGAAAGACTAAAGAACCAGAGGAAATGTATTTCCATCTACTCTGGTAAATCTACCTCAGAAATAGAGATCAGAAACAAAAATGAAAAAATTCATTCCTTTTAGAAAATGAATCTTTAACCTGTAGATTAGTTTATTTTGAAAGCCACATACCACACATCCAAAATATAATTCAGTGGTTTCATCTCCTGTCACACGTGTTGCTATGGCTTACAGAGAGAGAACATTTAACAGGAAGCAACCCAGGGAAGGGATGATCTAACTCAGACATCAATAATTCATTTATCAGAAATAGGAGTAGTGGTATGAAATGCCAGGACACTGTTTCATTTGTAGACAAGCATTATTTATTTTAAGCACACAACAATGTAAGCTAATATGAATGAAGGCAAAGATGAATGGGAAGATAGGTTTTCATGGTCTTCTCTTACAATGTTATTTCTTTAGCATCAGTTAGGTCTGTCAAATCATTTGGGAACTTGTAAAAGTGACAAGAAAAGGAATTTCATAACTTTTTTACTTCAGAGGTGATTTCCTTCAGTCCAAAGCTTTGGCATTAGATGATTCGCATAAAGCTTTGGGGGTTTATTCTCTTTTAGTACTGAAAAACCTTTAGGCCTCAGTTTCTAAGACATCTCCCAATTCAACCCATTTGTAACTGCATTATTTCATCATTGTATTCAGTGATTCATCACAGCCATTCACAAAGCAAGGGCTCAACAAATACTTGCTGAAAAAATGCCAAATATAGTCCTGAGTCTATTGGTTGAACTATACAATGAGGTGACATGTGGAGCCTATGTCTCAGCTTCCCTATTCTGGCAAGGATTAGAAATTCCTTCCTTTAAGCATTTTATATCCAATTCAAGAACTCATACTCTACCCAGGGAGATGGGGAAAAAGCAGACTCTGCACCAAAAAGAATCACAGCTTCCAGGCCTCAAAGAAGCAGAAAACTCTATCTAAACCTAACCCTAGAAATAAACAGACTTCCAAGACTTAAGTTAGATTTGGAATGTTCACATGCACACATACTTTGAGATAATTGTAATTTTAACTGATTATCAAGAATTAGATATATGAATAGAACACATAATTGCAATAATAACAGCTGTAATTATCTAGTACCTATTATGTAGTCAGCTTGGTGTTTTACACATTTTATTGTTATGCTTTAGAGATAAGTATTATTATGTTACTTTAGAGATTCTTTTTAAAGTACCAGAGTTCAGAGTAGTTAGACCGAAAAGCCATATAGTTAATCCAGGAGAGCTAGGGCTAAAAGTCAAGTCTTCTGAACTATAAACCCTCTTTTATTCTTAATGCTAAGTAATTATGACCCAAACAGAATTATCTACTTATGAATCCATGCTTAGACAGATCCATCTGTAATATCTAGAAATGTGGTCTAATGAGCAGCTAGGATACTTTAACTGTAAATGCCTGAATATGTGCTCTTGGTCAGACAAGAAAAAAAAAAAAATCAGGCAGAACCATCGAGAGGAGCTAAAGTGACATCTGATACCCTAGGGGACTACTGACATCGACAAAAGAGAGGTAGTGGGTGTTGGATTTGAACCTCCAAAACTGCGTTATTTCACTATCAAGACTATAAACCTCAGCACACATCTGAGATGATGTGGGTGGGCATCCTCTAAAATTCAAACTTTATTAAACTCAATGAACCACAGAGAGGCATAGAATGGGACAAAACAGGACACACTAAAATATCCCGGCGTGACTGTGACCACAGTGGTTCTTCTTGAACAAAGGAGTAGTGAAGTTTAAAAGGAATCCTCACAAAGAACATGATTTTAAGAAGATAGTCTGTAAAAAGCCTTCAAAGACAATACTCAGAGAATTGTCTTTAGTACAGACACACTCTTGGAGAAAAGTCACCATTACCACAGAGACTTTCAAAAGGTCTCTGTGTGCAAAATAGACTCATATACGAGCTGCAGAGATCAACACACTGGTCTTCATTTTTACCGAGAGTGTCTCTTGGCCCCTTCACACCCTACACAAGGACACTTTGGGAGTTAGTATGATCTAGACTTTTCAACTAGTTTTCCTCCTTCTCTATTCTCTACATAAATATTGATGTGATAAATTGAGTGCATGGGTATATATAGTCAGGTCTGCTATATTGCTTGCTTTTAAAAAACAATTTCTTCCATTATGATTGATATGTTAGGGAAGATTCTGAGCATATGTGAAATCTGCATTTCATTATGCATTATTTTGTCTGAGAAACTCTAGGTGATTGCTGAAAACATACCCAGATGAACTGAGCCATGTAGGAGAAGAGCAAACACACAACTACATGCCTTAGGGGCACAATGGTTCATGGTTAGCCACATGTGGTGCTCAACTTGTCCTTGCCCTCAGATAACTCACTTTCTACTTCAGAACAACAGGCAAACTGCCACCCTTTTGACAAGAGCCATCCTGGGGCACTCTTTATTCGGCTTAAATTTCTCTACTTTCTCTCCACCTGCTTATATTTTTCTTTTTCTTCTTTGTTTTTTTGTTTTTTTTTAATTCTTGGTCATAAGATTTATCTCTTTTCTCTCTTACTTTCTCTTTTGCACTTGGGATGGTGGGCATGTGAGTGATAATAGGTGTGATGGCACACAAGCACCATCCTAACAGTACTTTTATGTATTTACTGGGGTTTAAACTCAGGACCTTGAACTTATTAGGTAAACACTATGCCACTGGAGCCACACCTCTGGCCCTTTTGGTTTTCCATGTTATTTTTTAGGAGGGGTAGTGTGTTTTTGCTTGGACCATGACCCTCCTACCTAGAGCCTTCCGTGTAGCTGGGATCATACGTATGCCTCAAGTGGCTTATTTGTTAAGACAGGGGCCAGCTTTTTGCCCAGGCTGGCCTTGAACCATGATCAGCCTTCTGAGTAGCTAAGATTACATGCATGAGATGCTGCACCTGGCCCTTCACTGATGACATTTTTGAGTATTAGATGCCAACTCAATTTTCTTGTTGCTCTATGTTTTAGGATTCTTCAGCGTGCTGTTATTTTTAGGAATCCACAAGTTGCAGTATGGCAGAAAGAACTGTATGTTTGAAATTTATCACTAGTGTCTTATTTTTCTTTTGCAGACTATTTTTAAGAGAGGTTTTAGATTCACAGCAAAATTAAAAATACAGAGATTTCTCATGTTCCCTAGGTCCCCATACCTGCATACCACCAGTGCCTTTTAAAATATTAAATGGCTCAAGTCCCTTCTTTGGTGTTTTATCTGAATTTGTAATTAGGCTAGAAAACATTGGTTTGTGTTAACTGAAATTATAACCCCTTGTGTGAAATTCACTAAATATGGCAAGGTAGACCATAACAACTAGGTATGAAAGAAAACTACCCAGTTCAGTTTAGTCCCTTTATCTTTTTGTTTGGAAGTTCTGAAAAAGTCTGTATCAGTTTGTGTATTAAAGCTTTTACCAAAAAATCTGATCTTTCATATTTACTTGGTTGTTCATATTAACAAGTAACCTATTTCCACAGGGACTTTGCTGAAACTTCTTTGAAGATGATGAGAAACAAAACAACATATGCACAGTTACAATTTTTTAGGTCATATGGTTTTTCTAAGCTTATTGACTTAATCACATGATATGAGCTGGGAAATTTTCCCCTAAGACAAAAAAAGAAACTGAAGATAACATATAATAAATAGACAAAAAAGCTCTCTTTGCAACTTTTGTGATCCCAACCTAAAACATGTAAATAAAAATTCATACAAAAGTATTATGCTAGAGGAGCTTTGGAATAGAAAGGGGAAAAAAAGGTTAATTAATGTGATAGAGTGATCAGAAATGCCTACTCATCTTTCAAAGATCTGGAACTTTGTAAGTAAGAAAAACCAGTCCTCCTTACTTGCCAAGGAATATTAAACGCTCTGTGTATTTAAATACTCTGAGCATTTTCATTTGCATTCTCTACCAAGTACCATATTAAGTGGAAAATGAATAAAACTGTGTCTCTTGACAGGTGTGGGAACGGCATTCCACAAAACATAGTAGCTCGTCTAGGAGCTTCATGTACATTCGTGGAAAACCCAGCCACTTAGAGAAAGAAGAGGGCAAATAAGAAAGCCTGAGCCAGTGCCCTCAAATGGAGTATCCAACCAAATTTGTGTAATTTCACAAACAATGCAAGTCAATTGGGAAACACTTTTGTTTTTCCTCTCCCTTTAGCGTCCTTATCTCTAACAAATGGGTTCACTCTACCATGAGGGTAGTATCTCTTACTTCCAGCTACAAGAGCTGGAAATGCTGCATTCGCAGGGACTCTCCTGTAACCATTCCTAATATGTGGGTTACCCCTTTTCCTGACTCAGAAACTTTAGTGGAAAGACACTTAAGTGCTCATCTTGCAGTAAATGAAGTTTCATTTTTTAGTAAGGATTTTGAAACTTCTTCAGCATGAGCAGAAAACAAAGCTCCTTCCCAGCCACATGCCAATCACCCCTCGTTTGAGTCTTACTTGTTCTCATTGCTTGCATCATAACGAGGCATTGGGTCCAAGTCGTTTCCATTCACATCGCAGCTTGCCAGAGCATCCTGTGATGCAGAAGAGAGAATGAGAGGAAGGAAAATGGGCAGTCATTAATTAGCCACTGATCACCCCCCACCAATTTCATGAGTTCTTAAGTACATTTCTGCAAGAGAGTAACTAGGTTAACTAATACACTCATGGTTCGCTGGTGTCAGGGCACCTTAGAGAAGGACTACTGCTTCAGGAATAATTAGTGCTGTACCTTTCCCCTTAAGGTGGAGAAGTATTCTACACAGACCAAATGAATGTCTAATCCATTATGCCTGCACTTTTCCTCTTCATACCTACAATGACCCAGTTCGTGAACTGTGTATTATTCAAAGATGTCATCTAACACTTACTACCTTTTCTATGACGTACTTCTTATTTAATGATTTAGTTCAGATTTAATCTCTAGACTCTTTCCCTATTCCCTACTTGGTTACTTGAGAGTGCAACTTCATCATAATTTAAAGGTTTAGAGAACAAAAATTATTTGCAAAAAAAAAAATTATTTGCACATAATTGGCAAACCAATTAAAATAAGTATTAGATCTTTATTCTGCCAGGTATCTTGGGACCTGTATTAAATTTTGTCTGGTTTCAGATAGTGTATCTACTATAAAAGAGTCTACAGTTCAGACTTGTACTAATACTCCATGGTTTTAGAATGACCAAAATGATGAAACTTCCTAGGGTAAGGTTTCAAAATGAGGAAAAAGAATTTCCCAATACAAAGTTGGGTTTATTTGTTCGCTTTTAAAAATAATTATGAAAAATCTTTAGCATACCAAGGAATTTACTGAGTCATTACCATAGTTCCAATTTTTACCTCTATAGATCGTATATTTTAGGATGTTTTGAATTTGCTTATGCTTTTGACTACTCCTAACTTTAATGTATCTCTGTTTTCAGTCAGAAGCTTGTGTGTTTGAAAGCAAGTCTGAGTACATGGAACATGAAATGTTTAGGGGAATTAAGGATAACACACATTATATGTGAAAGTGGTAAATTTCTGCTTCCTACACAAAGGGGCCCTGCAGTCCCTCTCATTTGCCACTACAGCTTGAAGGGCTTTGGAATGAATCTGATGTAACTGGAAACATAGGTTACTGTCTAGCCTGTCTGGGCATGAAACACACGATAGGAGAACTGAGAGAGAGCACCAGCATTGCTAATTGTATAGGTAATTGTTGAGAACTTTCTTTCAAGAGGGAAAAAATGAAAAATGCAAAGACTGTAATCACAATGAGGTGGAAGCTATTTGTCTTTAATCAAATACGGTCATCTGCAGCAGGGAGCAAAAGCCCTTGGTGAAATTCTTTGCATGTGACAAGAAAGATGTCTCTGCTGGGGGACAGGCAGCCAGAGTTTGACTTCATCTCCGACCCTGGATAATTCACATCAGTCTCAGCCCTCAATTTCTTCACTTACCAAATGAGTAGAGTAAACTGAAGTTCCTTTTAAGCTTTAAAATCTATGCTGTGAAGAGGCGCACGTTTATTTGAATGTGCTTGGATGCAGGCTGAGGATAGCCACTCAACTCTTGACCAAAGGAGAACTAAATGAATTTATAGTGCCTTCTTTAGAAAGGGAATGGAGTGCTTCCTACAGACTACAGGGAGGTTAATTATTACTGCCCTTTAAAAAAGGAGAGATAGAGGGAAAAGAGACTAGAAAAGTAACTTGAGAAAATAAAAAACTCCTAGGTCTGCACTTTCACGAAGACAAGAGTGTTGCCTGGCTGGCTGGATGAATTGTTGAAAAGAGTGGGCATTGTTGGGTAGCAGATGGTGTGGGGGTGGAGTTTCTGCTACCTTATTGCTTCCTTTTTGTAGATTAGAACACCAAGGACACCCAAAAGTGAAAAAGTGTTATCACATTCTTCCTGTATTCTAAGAGCTAATATTTTACAATGACACAAAACATAGAGTCCATTGTATTCGTTGCTACATTCTGTAGCAGCTCTTCCCCCTTTCGACACTCCTAATACAAGCTCCTCTTTTTCTAAGGAGTGATGACTTCTGGCCACAGCAAACACTCACATAGTTTTGCATCAGATCCGGATGGGTTCTCTCAATGCCATCGTCCAGGATGGTCACCACAATATTCTTCCCCGTGTAGCCTCTCTTCCAGGCTCCTTCAATATTCATGTCTGATTGACAGGGATGTGTGTTGTCACTGCAGTGCTAAAGAAAGAAAAGGGCATTGCAGATTACTAAATGAGTTACCCACTTGTCGAGATAAGGCATTAAATTTGCAGCAATTTGGTGGATTTTCTGGTAAAAGAGAAGCTTGGATCTGTTGCATGATGATTGAGAAGATAGAAAGGAGACAGAAAGGAAGGTCAGTAAAAATCTACCACCAGCTGTGATCTGTCCTGACACCACAATTCCTTTGGAAAAACAAAAATCAAGTATACCAACAGTAGACTAATGGACATATCATTTTATTGCCAGCGTGTATTAACGAGACATCAATAGTCATCATGGCATTGCATTTACAAACCCAAAGCGGTTCAGGTGACTGAAGAACATGTACTTAATGATTTCTTAGCCAGGCACTAGGAACCAATACAGCCACAACTGGACCTAACTCAAGGGCCTCTGTACAGTTAGCCAGAGGGTGAGACTGTGAGAAACCTATCAAAGAGAAAAATAACAGGTTCTCCAAACTCCTTTCACCAAATTAACAATTGCTGTTGTACCATAACTTGAGAGTAGACAGACTTGTTCAGTATTACTTTGAGAAGGGAAATAATAATGTGAAATCCAGAAAGGTACCCTACACAAGAAAATGTGTGTGAGGGCTTCGAGGGCCAGGCTGCAAAGCAGGGAACCTTAACTCATTATGTGTAGAAATTTCACTCCGTAATGCTACAGGTATAAACATACTTGCCAGCAGCTTTTCCTGATATAATTCACTAGCATTTGTCTAGCCCACACAATTGTTCTTTTAAAGTGCATCGCTTTGAAATGACCCTCTAAGAGGTGCTGTTTTCCAACTTCTTAGGACTTGAGAGAGGTATAAAGGAAAAGAGATGTGCTGTTGCTTAATGTCATAGCAACACCAGCCACCCTGGGCCTCAGCATTCACCACTCTCCTCCTGCTTCCAATAGTTCAGCACTTAGGGAACTGAAAACAATGCCGGGCTTTCTCTGCTCTTAGCATAATGGAGCCCATGCCAACACTCATTCATTTATTGCTTATTTTCTTGAGTGTCTATTATGCTGAGAATGGCAGTGAACAAATCACCCGAGGTCCTTGTGTTAAAGCAGAGACAAAGAAAATAAAGAACTAAATAAATCAGAGTGCTGATTGTGTTTTAAAAGTGGTAAAGAAGGTGATATGATGGGGAATGTGAACAGGTCTGAGTACACAGCTTAGGTGACATGATCAGAAAAGTCTTGTCTCTAAGAAATGAAGGGAAAGGTGAGCTGAGAAGGGATTGTTGAGAAAGAGCAGATCTGTCCAACACCCTAGGGACAAGCATCTTGTGGGGTAAGCAGCAAATGAAAAGACTGCAATGTGGATAAGGGCATAGTGAGAGAGAAGGTAGGTACTGCTGGAAAGAATCACCCAGAAGAAAGCAAACTGGAAATGGAGGCAAGGTTGGTGAATGTTATAAATACACTTGAGTAGTTTCAAGGATTCATTCTAAGAAAAAGTATACTCAGGTATTCATAATAAACATCAGTTTCATAGAGAAGAGGGGCTTAAAAACATATTTTTAGGAACATCTGCATCTTTTCCCTGCCTTCTGATTTCTCCCTGACACTCAAGGTCCTGTGTATCCACCCTCTGCCACTCTACTAATCCAAATTCCATTCCCCTTCCTTCCTCCAGTTTTACAGGCACAGCTCTGCACCTACCTCCTCTCACAAAGCCTTCTTTGTCTTGCTCATCTTTTCTCCTAAACACCCATGCATAAATGTACACACACACACACACACACACACACACGTTTTGCAATACCCAACCCCTACACATTGAATTCTGCTGAACGATTGATTGCTGAATCTTGGTTGTGAGTTTTGTCTGTCTGACTGACTTAATTTAAGTCTAACCTATAATTTCAGAAATATTGGTTAATTATTCACCAGAAGTGAGGGTATATCCTCAATTTTATTTCCAAGTTCAAAACTGCCATTATGCTCACTGCTGTGACCTCTTCAGAGATACCTGATAATGAGGAAAAAAAAACAAACAAACTGCTTCTTTCAGAAGTCTCATTCTGGCCAAGACTGTGGGTCTCTCCTCACCAAATATCTTCATTTAACACAAAGTAACCTTAACAGATTTCCATTTCATTTTCTTTTCAAACTTTGCAGTGACCATCTGTGGTATTAATTGTGACTGGGAGTAATGTTATGTGGCCAAAAGGTGGGCCCGAGGAAGGAAATGCGCAGGAAATGGGCAACCCACAAATGGGATAACGGTCCTGGAGTGGAAGGATACTGCCTGAAATTGTAATTATGAAAATTGAAGAAAACCAGCAGTCTATGGAAAACATGTGTGTCAGAAGTAGAGCAACTAGTTTTCCTTTTCCCACCTCTGCTTCTGTTGAATCTGACTTCACCATTAAATATTCAGTGCCCCCTTTTTGTTCTTTATATCCACCACCAATGTACTGTTAGGAGGGAAAGGAGGAGAAATACCCAATTGATTAATCTAATATAGAAGATAGCCAAAATGTCAAGTGCAATGTACACACACATATATATACACAAGTGGTCAAGGCTTCCACACATATTTCTAATGTAGTTCTTTCATATACGCAAGATATTCTGAGAGCAAGGACTATGGAACATACTGATGTCACCCAACAATGACCAAAGACGAGAGTGAGTTCATCATTTCCTTAACTGCCTGATTAAAATGGTCTTAAAACTGGGGCCTATTTTCTTGCCAAGATTCCATGTCACAGCAAGGGTAAAAGAAGAAACATTGGCCACGATTCCCCCATTCATGGTCAACCCTGTTGATACCTGCCAGAGCTGGAACCAACAACTGGAGTCTGGAATTGTGTCACCAATACGCAGCCCAAAGCCTGGAGCTCACCAAAGAGACCAGTCAGAAATGTCAAGCATATTAAAACTGAAGAAAGCACATGCGTGCATAGTGGATGCAAGATACATATTTATAGTAAATATATGCATCTTTAGTTCTGAATAATGTACTGTATTCCAACGACAGTTCATGCACACGTGATTAAATATTTAAAAACTATGCAAAATAGAGAATTTCCTATGAAAACAAAGATAATAAAGGTTTTTTCATCTTCTTATCCAAAACAGCCTTTATTCTTTTTAGGAATGCAATTTTAGAGAGACTGCTCTGTGAGTTCAAGAACCTGCCCTTTCCATACCAGGGTGATGAGTTATTCTTCTTATAAAACACAAGGGATGTGCTCATGTCCCTTTTGTCTTCATAAATATATCACAGTGTTTGCTCAATGAAAGAACAATTTATGCCCCAAATAAACACCTTTATGTTCTTATCCTCGTTTTCTTCATACCTAGGGGATAAGGAAACTCTCCACATCATCCTGTTTAAACTTCTAAGTTCTCAGGGCCTCCAATGAACTGCCTTTGCATATGTGGTGCTGGGGACAGAACCCAGAGCCTTGTACATGCTAGGCAAGAGCTCTACTGCTGGGGTGCGTCCTATACCCTTAAACTGCCATTTACATGTTGTCAATAATCTCCTAGCATTGAAAACATGTATTGTTCATTATTATAGATACAGCGGCTCATAAGACTGAAAGTCTTACTATGCGAAGTTACTAAGAATACAGAATTAAATACACAAAATACTCTGTTCTAGACACAATAAGAAACAAATCTAGTCAGCTTAGTAAAATATATTATACTTGAAATTCTTTGTAAAAATTGGAGCTTAAGAGTTGCAATAAATGGGAGAGAAAGGATATTCCTTAAGAGAAAAAATAGCTAATATCTACTAGGTCCTTACCATGGCCAAGTATAGTATTAATCAGTATATGCAGACAGCATCAATTAAGACAACCACCAGGTGCCGGTTGCTCATGCCTGTAATCATTATTACTTGTGAGGCTGAGATTAGGATGACCACTGTTCAGGCCAGCCCAGGCAGATAGGTCACAGGACTCCATGGCTATGTTACCTTAATAAAAAAATTCCATGACATATGTGTGTTCATGCTTGGTTGGAAAATAGTAGCAAAGCAAAATGGGTGGATGTTTATGGTCATCTACCATGTTAAATGGGGAAAGGGTCTGAAATAATAGTTAATATAGTAAAAAAAAACAGCAATAAGGAAAACAGAAGTGATTCTGTGTAACACAATTGAGCTATTCAAAGCAGTGAACAACTATTAGCTCTACTATATGGTAGGCCCTTGGCACTGGGTAACAGATGGAGGCATTATGCATAAGGAACTCATAGACTGTAAAACAAACCAACAACCCCCAGACAAAATTTTTTCCAGGTTGTAGTTTATGCAAATCTTGAAAAAATAAAGGCAAAACTTTATCCAGCAAAAAAATTAAAAAATAAAATAAAAATAACCACAGCAAAAATAGACGGAACGTATGGCTCAAACCACAGAGCATCTGCTTTGCAAAAATGAAGGCCTGAATTCAAACCCCAGTCCCATCAAAAAAAAATAAAAAAAAGACTTAGGACAACCGTTTGGAAGAGATACTGTTATAATATGCTTTTAAAAGCAAAGAAAAACAAAACAAACAACAATGAAGAGTAAAGAAAATGAGATATTTTCAGTCTAGGTCATTTTTCAGACTTCAAACATATGTTCAATTGTGGAATTAGGACTCAAATTCAAGTAGCCTGACTTCAGAGCATAGAGCTATTGAAACTCTTCAATTAAAAATTGCAAGAAAAAGGATTTAAGATCAGGGTCAAACCCATGTGAATAAGAAGATAAAGAGTAGATAAAGAATCCAGTAATCAAGTAACAGAAACCATACTGGCCTTAGCACTATGATCAGTGCATTCAAGTGATAAAGTTAGATAAGACCTTCATGATTTTTTTCCTTATCCCTTATTGCAACACATCTTACACACCAAGTTTCTATTTGAATATTTCCAATAACAAAAAGCTCAGTTCTTTATTAAACAGCCAGTGTTACGCTGGTCAATCGGGTATTTTTCTTTTTAAAGCCTTTATTAGTCGTGTTTTACCCATTTCC